TCTGCCTCCAAATCATCCATGACAACTCCAGACCACAGCCCACTCAGATCGCCTGTGTTACGGTGGCCTCTAGAAGACTCAGGCAGATCCTGTGGGGGCCAGGGTGTGTGTCCCCTCTCTCCATTCTAGGGAAGACTGCAGCCCTGCTCCTGGAGTCAACTGAGACCTGGCCTAAGGCCGGAGACTGCTCAAGTCACATCCTGAAGACTCTGTGGTTTTACCAGACCTACCAAGCTCCTAAGCGTGGCCACCACTCAGATTCCAGCCACCAGCCCTTTGTCTCTGAGGTGTCTCCGTTTGTGCTGCCCCCATGACCAAAAGACACAGGGTCACACCTACCTCTGCCTTCTTCTTGTGTTGAATGCTAGCAGAAGTGGACAGGACCGGCCCAGTGACATGTCATTATCAAAGGACTTCTGCTGGACCCAGTCCAGTGATTTGCCATGTAGCCTATAAAACTCTGAGTGCACTGTTTGTGTCCATAATGTCAACCAGCCAGCTCCTGGGTCACTGTGCTCTGTCTACACTGGCTTTGCATGCACACAGCGGCACTGCTGCTGTAGGGTCTGCTACACACTAAGGAACTGTATGTTACACAGCTACACAGTTTGTTAACTGTCTATTACACTGTAAGAAAGTGTATGTACACAGGTAGACAGCTGTCGTACTGCCTGTTGCATACTAAGAGAGTGTATGTTACACAGCTACATAGTTGTCATACTGCCCATTACATGCTAAGGAAGTGTATGTTACACAGTTACACAGTTGTCATACTGCTCATTACATGCTAAGGGAGTGTATGTTATAGAGCTACATAGCTATCATACTGCTTATTATATGCTAAGGTAGTGTATGTTACATAGCTGTCATACTGCCCATTACATGCTAAGGAACTATATGTTACACAGCTACTAAATTGGTTTACTGCCTACTACACTATAAAGGAGAGTATGTTACACAGCTAGACAGCTGTCGTACTGCCTGTTGCATGCTAAGAGAGTGTATGCTACACAGCACAAGGAAGGGTCACTCTACCTTCTCCACCGGCCACATCCATCAAGTCAGAGTCTGAAAATCCATCTGCAAAGAAGAACACACAGCGTCACTGGCCGCCCTGGAACGAGTGGTTGTGTCATGTCCTATTACACACTGAGCGTCCCTGATCCGAAAACCCGAAACCCAAAATTCTCCAAAATCATGACTTTTTTGAACTCCAACGTGAAGAGACAGGTCATAGGTCACAATGAAAACATAGACACATGAGAAAAATCACCATATAGCATGACCTGCACAGGAACTTGACTCCTGGCCCAAGAAATCCCACTGTGTACCCGCCAATACTCCAAGGCTTAAAACAAAATTCAAATATGAAAAACTTCCACTTGCCAGCATTTCAGAGAAGAGATACACAACCTGAAAAACTAAGTCCCCTTTTGTGTCCAAACTCATAAATTAATTTTACCCAAAATTCTCTTTCTAACCCTGGGAAAGAGAACACAGAAAAGAACTGGAACTACAGAATCATTTTTTTTTTTTTGGATGAGTGTAATTAGAAGCCTAGGTCAGTAAGCCCAACCCAGAACTATCATAAATAACAAGTTGGAGGTGTTTTGTTATGCTGCAGTAGCTAGCTGATACACATTACATTTAATCCATCAATTTAGTATAACCTGCTGTGCCTAAAGACAATCTACTTCATGAAGCAAGGACATATTTCATATAAATGCAGCCCTTTATGTAACCTGTCCACATTCATGAAAGAACAGGGAAAAAATAAGATGAGCATCTGTACTGACAACCCTACACCCCTGATGAGACACCATGTATGTTCCTGCTTAAGGAAACAAAGAGAATTGGAACAGAAAAATACTTTCTAGCCAGGCATGGTGGTGCAGGGCAGTAATCCCAGCACTCTGGGAGACTGAGACAGGAGGACCTCAAGTTCAAGCCCACAATAACATGGTTTAGCAAGACACTGTGTCAATATAAAAAGCAAAAGAAAAGAAACAACCAAAAAAGGCTGAGGATGTAGTTCAGTGAGATAGTCCTGGGTATCAAACTAAAAGAAAGAAAGAGAGAGAGGGAGGGAGGGAGGGAGGGAAGGAGGAAGGAAGGAAGGAAGGAAGAGGAAGGATCAACTTCTTGATCTGACTTTTTTTTTAAAAGGCAATTTCTTTTATAGGAAAATGAATCTCTTTAGACTTCGCCTTAAATTCTGGAATAAAAATCACTCTCTCTCTTTTCAGCCTTTCTCATCTAGCCAAAGCAAGAGAATGAAAGTGTAACTAAAGTGTAAAGAGAAAATGTAAACAAACTGCAAATAATTTGATTATCTTGTCAGAAAAGCTAAGCTATCAATGAACGCCAAAGGAATTCACTATGTGTTCCTCCTTAAGGTGGTTGTGGGGGAAAATGTATAAAAATCATTTTTCATGAAAGTAACACACATGCTGGGTATGGTGGCGCACGCCTGTAATCCCAGCAGTAGGGAAGCTGAGGCAGGAGGATCGTTGCAAGTTCGAGACCAGCCTGGGCTACAGAGTGAGGTCAAGGCAAGCCTGAACTGCAGAGCGAGATCTTGTCCCAAAAAGACAAAAAAAAAAAAGAAAAAGAAAAAAAGTAATACACATGTTGAACACACACACACGTATTCATATAAGCAAGTAAAAGCAGGAGAATAAACAATTTGGAAATGCGTCTAAAGAAACGATCACAATATGTGAATTATACCCCAGGGAAATGGTTGGTTCTTGGCAAGATGCCCACACTCTAAATCAATTCACAGTTCTTAACAATAAGTGGAAATAAAAAGCTTTTGTTATTTTCCCCAAAGCGAAAAAAGAAATCAACAACAAAATGATTCACAAAATAAAAGGAAAAGTCTAAAACTGTAGAAAAGTCACTAGGGCATACAAAAACCCACTGCAGGAAGAATTTCCAGTCTCTCTGGTCAAAAAGTACTGTGATAAATATTCAAGGGAGAGAAGAAAGGGGAAAGGATTTTGTGGTAAGTGGCTGGTCACAATTTATACCCACAGCAAAGTGATGTACCCACGTGGCCTGCTTTGTTTTCTGTTTGGTTTTTTAATTTTAACCTCTGAGCTAAAGCTACCATCACAGTGGCTTAATCCATGGGTGATATCTCAGGGAGGTTTTCTAAGATAACATAACCACCGTTGGAAATCACCGGAAGGAAATACTCCCGTGTCTACACAGCAGGAGGTGGGAAGAATGGGTACAATTTGAAGACAATTTGGAAAAAAAGTAAAACAAAATCCTAAAGCTAGGTATATGCATTCAACTGAAGAATTTAACTTTTTGAAATCTATGTTAAGGAAAAAAATCTCTTACATTTCTGTGAGTGTATGTCTGCAGTGCACACTAAAGGCGTTCACCTCGGGAGGTAGTATATTTACTGAGCGAGTCCTCAGCCTTCCCACTGCCTCTTCTCCTCTCCTCTCTGCTCCCAGATTTTCTTCCATTTCCCCCAAATCTACCTCTTGTTTCCTATCATCTATGTTTTACTCTGCTCTTTACTTATTCTTTGGTTTTCTCATAGAAGGGAAAAAAATGCAATATTTAAGCTAGTGCATCTCTTTTACTTCACTAAACATTATGGTCAAGGTGCATCTGTTTTCCTACAACACGACTCAGGTTTATCCTTCTTCATGGCTGCATTGTACTCCATGGTATGTAAGCATCACGCTTTCTTTATCCGTGCATTTGTTGAGGGACATAGAGGCTGCTTCCCAGGTTTAGCTGTTATGAGTTGGGCTGCTGTAAACATGGGTGTGTGTGATCACTATCATAGGGTGCCTTTAACTCTTTTAGGAAGACACCCAAAAGAAATATAGCTGAGTAAGAAGATGGCTTAAATTTCCTTTGCAATCTCCAATCTTGTCATATCACAGCAATCATAACATTTTCAGTAAGTTAAATAATATAGCAGGTAATTATGTATGTAGTGTATGATTACCTTTAGTAGTCATACGGTACAGACCCAAGTGACATGGGAAAGGGCTCATACATAAGCAGAATATACAATAACGACATGAACAAAATACTGGTATATTTACCTGGGTGGGGTAGCACACACCTGTCATGCAGCACTTTGGGAGGCTGAGGCAAGAGGATCAAAAGTTTAAGCCCAGCCTGAGCAACTCAGTAACTTAGTGGCACCATGTCTCAAGACTCAAAAAAAATAAACTCTGGGGATGGAGCTCAGGATGAAAGTCCCTGGTTCAATCCCCTGCACTCACAGAAAAAAATTAATAGCTTTACTTAAGAATTATTCCGTTGTGAGCAAGGTGTGGTGGTGCACACCTGTAATCCCAGCACTTAAGAGGCTGAGGCAGGAGGATCATTGCGAGTTCAAGGGCAGCCTGCACTACAAAATGAGTTTAAACCCAGTCTGAACCCAGTCTGAACTGTATAGTGAAACCCTGTCTCAAAAAGACAAAAAAGAAAAATTATCCTGTTGAAATGAAAACTCCCAATCTCATCAGTATACAACACAGATAGCCAACAAAAACCCACATGGTATCCCAAATTATGTACAATTATTATGAGTCTATGATAAATACAAATATATCTTAAAACGTCAACACAATATAGGAAAAATTTATAGGCGGGGCCTGGTGGCATGCACTTGTAATCCCAGCTCTTGGGAGGCTGAGGCAGGAGGATTGTCACGAGTTCGAGGCTAGCCTGCGCTACAATGCGAGTTCAAGGCCAGCCTGAACTGCATAGTGAGACCCCATCTCAAAAGGACAAAAAAAAAGGAAACATTTATACTTTTGTGTTTAAAACTGTAACAAACACATAAACAACGAATAGAATACTAAAATTCTGAAGTTTTATCCCTGACGCAGTAGAGAAAATGAGTGCCTGTTCGCTTAGGATGTGAATAGTGAGGTATCCGAAGGCCAATCTGAGCACTTATAGCAAAAGGTTTTAAGAATAGTAGCTGTTCCGCAGGAAACGCGCACACCAGAATGTCCCCCACATCTCTGTGTATTTAAATCTTGTATTCCATTTCTTGGGAGGTTCCATGACAACCTCCATGGACAAGTGGGTAAAGAAAGGTACAATCCAACATAAACCCTCCCCAAAGAACACCATTTTGAAAAGGAGGCTCCCTACACCTCAAACGTGGGAATTGTCTGTACAGGGAGAGTCACATGCTCGTCTGAAAGGACCGCAGCAAAGGCCGCGTGTCAGCGGATTGTGAAAATCCCCCAGATGACCCAAGGGCTTGAGGCTCGGACTTACCAGAGGCTCCTGGCTGCTTGGGCTTTGGATTCGGTCTGGGCTCAGGCTGCTTGGGTGGTGCTGGGTCAGCTGTTTGCAAAAAGGGAAGAACTTCAGGGAGGAATGGTTTTCAGTTAAGGAAGTAAAGCACCAGTGTACAGACAGAGGGTCCACGTAGGAGAGCGAGGCGGTAGCCTGTTGTGTGCTATGGTGGGGACGCCACTGCCCTCGGCCACCCGCCAGTTCCTTCCCGTCATGTTACAACTGCAGCACTTAACCTTGAGCGCTCTCAATGGGCCCTAAAGCAGGCAGCCAAGCCAGGTAACAAGCTTGACCTGGTCTTCGGAAAATTGAGAGCGCCAGACGCGCTGTTGAAACTGGACTGATGGATCTCAAGATGGGGGCAACAGTGACTGAAAGCGGTACAGTGGTCAGTACACTGCATTGGAGTACAATGTAGCGGTGAAAGCTGGTGTGGGAAAAATGGTGGCTGGTGTGGTAGTAAGGTGGCAGCCAGTGGGTAACAACAAGCAGCAGGTACGTTAACAAGGTGGAGGCCAGGGTGGGAACAAGATGGCGGCCAGTGTGCTGAGGAGATAGTGGCCAGAGGGGTAAGAGGATAGCAGCCACGATGGTGACAAAACCGAGGCCAGT